AGATCTCGGCGGTGAAGGCAGCCGTTTTGACAGCCCGAGAAGCTGAGCTACAGCTCGGCAGCCCTCTTGGCGTGCGCATTTGCTTCGCGAGTTTGACGACTGCAAGTTGGGTGCTGGATATGGCCGGTCAAAAAAGGGTACCCAACGAGGAACCCAGGTAAATGGAACCAGGGACTAAAACCTGGGGTCCCCAGCTGGTTTAATTGTGACCCATAATGTTGACCCCGGATTAATAAACCCCTGCTTATTAATATGGGGGTGTCCCTGGTTTTAGTGGGAATCATCACTTTTGGGGGGGAACACCCCCGTATTAATAAACAGGGGTTTATTAATCCGGAATCAACATTGCCCATGTCACAGGCTGGTTCCCACCTTCGGGGCATGTCTGAAGCTCACTCGAGGACTCGCGTCAGCTCGCGCATGAGGAGGGCAAAAAGTCTGTCTCACACACCTCGACCCGCGCGGAATGGAAGGGGCTGGGACCATGAGGCCGGGAGACCGCAGAGACGGAGCTCAAGGGACCCTGAACAAGGAGTCACATTTGCGTAGTTTGCTGGAACCTAGGACCATGTATTCGGAACCCATTGGGGCAACAAAAATGGGGGCCCGGCAGTTAACATGTTTTTAATGGCCTCCGGTCAGGTTCCGCCGACTGCATTGGGTGCGGCGTATGGCAGCGTATGCATGCAACTTTCTGGCTCATGGAGCTTACAGCTTAGCAGCTTTGCGCGCTTGCAAGCTTACAGCTCACAATCTTACAGCCTTACACGCTTCCAGCGTTACAGCTTTACAGGCTTGCAGACCCTAGCGCCATATACGCCAACGCATATTCTGGACCGGGCATGGGGTCGGCGGATTCTGATTCTGGGCCAGCTCTGATTAAGTTGGTTCTCCTACTTGATTCGAAGTCCGACGTGAGGAGAGCCATTTTATGAGACCTTTCAGGAGGCCAAGAATCCCCGCATTTTGTTGAAGGCTCATTGGCTACTTTGTGTTTTTTTTGTCGAAAGGAGCTTGCGGAATGGTCCATGCAGGATTTGCTTGTGAAACACACCACTAACACCAAGTCAACCATTTGAACGGGTGATTTTGCCGGCTCAAATCTAGTTTCATCTTTTGCAGATCCCATCCCCAGATCCTGCCCATCCGCCCCTGACTCTTTTGGGCCCCCCAGTCACCAGATCAGAGGACCTGGCGGGCCCTTGGCTGGTCGGATTTCAAGGTAGAGCGATCGCGGCCCTAAAAAGTAGCGGCGCGCTTGGCGGGTTTGGCGGGTTTGGCGGGTTTGGCGGGCGCCGGCAGCGCCGCACCCCTGATGGTCCGGCCCAGTTTTTGCCTTGAAGCATACGATTCCCGAAAGAGACGGAGGGTTGTTTTGTCAACGCATCCGACGCATGTGACGGAAGAACCAGAAATGCGCCTGTTCTCTTCAGGAATCGAGACGCTCAAAGGTCCTTTTCCGGTGCAGCCTTTGAGTTGTGCGATTCTTGGATTCTTCAATGAGACATGGAGTTTCGAGTCCTTGTCCTAGAGGCTGCACTTCTGGATGGCAGGCCCGCACATTCCTTGTCAGGAACAAGCCCCGTGAGGTACGAGGAGATCGCGAAGCGCCTCAACGCGCTTCTGCAGTACATCGAGGCCTTCTGCAACCTGGGGGGTGAAATGGAATGGTTTGCTTTGTCTTAGAATCGGATTCGGACCCCTGGAAATCGTTGGCTTGCTTTTGGCTTCCTCAACCCAACCGGTAGGTAGCCTCCAAAAAGACACCATGGGTGGGACCTTAGCCAAGGCCGGAAGGAGTCGCTTTGAACGCTTGGTGCTGCTCTAATGAAGGTAGGCGGGATGCTGTTGGGGATTTTGACAGCACAAGGAGCATGAGTTCATCCTGGGCCATGCTGGAAAATACGTCGGAAGTGGGCTTGTCCTAACATTGGAGGACCCCCGGGATGGTGTTTTTTCTTGGCACCCACAGAAGCCAGCCGATGATTCGCCCTCCACTGTAAGCCCTGTTTGGGTGCTGCCCAACCGCTTGGAGCCATTCGCAAGTGCCGGAGTCGTGCCAACGACTTTGACCCTCCGAACAGGCTGTGGTTGTCAAAAACCGTTTTGGGATCCCATTTTGCTTGGCTTCCGGTGAATTTTTCCCATTGTAGTTTCAGTGGTTGGATTGGTTGATGTTCGCGCGACGATTTGGATGTTGACCCATGGCCTGGGTGCCTTTGGGCCACTGGCCGGTCGCTGGCTGGCAGACGCCAGGTGAACCTCACCGCCGTGCGCAAGATCCTCAAAAAGCCGCTGGGCCGCAGGGGGGGGTTGTTCGTTTGGTGTGGTGAAGGCGTGAGCCCGTGGCTAGGTAGCAGGTAGCAATCATTTCATGGTAATTATTAGTTCCCTTCCCCAATGATAACCCATAACCCCTGTAGTGAGCATCCTTTGGGGGAAAACATGTTTATGATAAGAGGAAACTCCGCTTTGAGGTGGGAGGATTATACAATTCTCAAACTTCATTTCACGTTAATTCACGTGAAATCAACAAAGACAATAAGTTATGAGTAGCAAGAAGAAACACAACAGATCTGGAGGTGAACGGCAAAGAGCTTTTTAAACACAAGGGTGTTTCTGCGAACTCGGAGTTTCAATGGGTTTTAAAGGTCTGTGTCGTCCATGACTTCAGTCGCGCGGATTCCCGAATGGTGTCGGCCGCACCTCCGAGGCTGATTCGCGGGTGATGTCCTGCCAAGCATTTGGCTGTGGCTCAAAATTCAGCTGGGGGTACCGCAGGTTTGGCTTCTGTGTTCATCCAAGGTGCCCAAAAGTGGGTACCACTTTTTTGAGCCACAGCCATTTGTCATCCCAAGGTGCATGGGTTGCATTGGACACTGTCCTTCCTCTTGGGTCAAGAGTATTTGCTGGTCTAGTACTGCTGGGAGCGATCTCAGCGGGAAGAGCCTAACGGGCTTCTCTTCCTCATCCAACTCCATCTGATCTTGACTATGGATCCAACATCCAAAATCCACGATTGCACAGAGCACGTTTGAGGGAGTCTTGGATACTGGCGCGTCCAGAACATCTTTCCAGTTGGGCACACTTCAAGTCTTTTCGAGGGTCCAAGATTGCACACAGACACACACAATCTTGGATCGTAGCCTTTCAAAAGCTTTGAGGCTGGGCCAGGCATCCAAGACTGCCCAGGATCCAAACTTCAAACAGTCTTGGATTTGGATTGTGCCTGGGGCCCGCCCTCGTGATCCTTTTTTGCATTTCGGGATAGACCTCTTTCCCAGCTTGCAATTGTGGCCATGGCCCCGTACCCGTCGTGGACCCCGTCGCTCGTCGCTCCCGCTCGGCCTCGCTGAGGTTTGACAAAAAGGTGCCGCCCGAGTTCCGGATCCAAAGGGTTCAGGACTACCAGGCGAGACGGATTGGGTTGGTTGGGACAAAGCGGGGCTGGCTGGCTGCGGGACGGAAGGGACAGTGATCTTCTGGTGTTGATGTGGGCTGATGTGGCCTGCTTGGCTTCTTCAACTTAGGATGCATCAACTAGAGCATTGCCTTGGTGTCATTTCGCCAGCAGCGGTTCGTGGCGCGGTTTCAGGGACCCTCTAGTACAGAGCAGGCTATGCTGACATCACGAAAAATGAAGACACGGAACTGTTAGCTACCATTAGGCCTGATTCCTCAGGTTTGCTTGAGGGAGCGCCGTGGATGCCCCCACGGTGCTAGAAAGATAATACATTGCAACTATGATGAAGACGACATAGGATAGACGGATGATACTCACTCAAACAAATACACTTTTTGGGCCACCACTGAAATAAATGGAGAGCCAGCCACCAAGGAAAAAAGTGCAAAGTGCGCCCACTGGCCAAGTGAGGATATCATATGAACAAACGGATTCTATCACTTCCTACATCATATTGCATCTGTTATTCTCCTCGCTTGGAAGGGTCCCTAGTTTTGACAGAAAAAAACAATTCTCAAAGGCTCCAACCCGTTGCGCTGGGAGCCAGGCTCACAAGGAGCTCTTTATGCCAGGTGCCAAGGGGGAGCGAGCTGACAGGCTGAGAGCGGCGGACGAGATGGTTTTGAGGACTTGTGTTGCCTTGAGGCCTGGGGTTTGTGGGAATCAGGGCATGGAGGTTTATCCTTTTTTCTCGGGGGGGGAATCAGGGCATGGAGCTTGGAATGTTTGATTTGCTTCCAGGTTTAGGGGCAAGCAGATGTTCCACCAGGGGGCTTGGCGTCTCTACGTGCTGACTCGCGTGCATCAGCTCGGGCTGGGGAACTGTCAGTGGTTTTGTGGGTGATTTGGTTCCGGCTTAGGGCGGTTTAGGCTCGGATCCGGGTTTGGGCTGAACACCGTGCGCGGTTGGTGTTGCTCCGGTCGCTTCAGATAGAAACGAGGCATGGAAATTATTTACTCTCCAGCGTCCATGTGCCAGTATCCTGCTGTCGCGTGCTGAGTGTCAAGTGAGTCAAACGAAGTCCCCTCTTCTTGAGGCCTGCAGGCGCTCCTTTAGTCTCATTCCATGAGAGCGTTTCCCAATGCCCATGTTTGAGCATTGGATTTGGATGTCAAAAGCAAACAGCAAAGGGGCGTGTCTCTTCTTGATCGCTTCCATTTTGAGTTGTCTTGAGGATTTGACCCCCCAACACGACAGTTGGATTGTATGGCTGGTGCATGTTCGTTGTTTTCATGCAGCTTTCTTCTTGACACTGCGCTATCCCTGCTTTCCAAAACAAGGAACCCAGACCACAGCTGCGCCGTATGTGGAAGAGGCGACAGGATACCAAACTTGCTGAGGGTCCAATAGACCCCAGCCGCGATTTGAGGCCCTCAATCCAGCACGCGGGGTGGCCGAGAGAGGTTTGCCGTGGGGCCCATCTTTCTTTTTGTTGGGGATTTTTATTCAGCAGGGGTTACTCCATTTCTCTTGTGGCAGTTTCAATAGAAACCAACTCTTGAGAAGCCTGCTCAGCGCTGCAAGGTTGCCTTTGCCATGTGGGTTGCTATTTCTGTTGGAGCACCTTGGTCAACTTCGTAGCCCCAGGTTCTAGTGGCCGCTCTGCAAATGCAGCGGCTGGTTGGGGACTCCATCGCCCCGGCCCCAGACCGAGTGCGGGCACGATCAGATCGATGGAAGCTGTTGGGTTTTGCGCCGATAACAACCGCTTTGTTTGGGATGTAACCTTCCGGTCCTTCCGCCGTTTCCCTGTCCTCGATCCCAGCCCTGTTGTGTCTTTCTCGCCGTGTCCAAGAGGGTCGCTGTGAACCCTGAAGGCGTTGCCACGCCTTGGGAAGTTGTCACACCTTGGGTTTTGCGCCTATGGAAGCTCAACAACCGCTTTCCTTTAGGCCTGCCGAGGAAAGACCAACCAGAGCATCCCCCTAGTGAAGGATTAGTCATTGGAAATGGGGGCAATTCCCACATTCCTGGCACTCACCAATGAATTGCAAGCTGAGCCTCAGCCACGCCGCGCCAGGCAGAGAGCGGGGAGTCTGTGACCATCTCCCAGCTAGGGCCGGGCGCGCAAGTGAACTTTTCGAGCGCTAGGGTCAGAAGGGTGCTGGGTGTTGCCATGTCTCCTATCAGTGGGGACTAGCTTTCTATGGTTTTTTGGCAGACACCCAGGTGGCTGTGGGTCAAACATAGGAACCCAACATGGCTTGCCCTGGCAAAATGGAACCAAGGACTAAAACCCGCGGTTCTTTGGTCAAATGTTGACCCACACCCATGTGAAGGGCCCCTTCTCAAGCGATGGCAGCCAGTGTCAGCAGTTCTCACCACGCTGCTCCGCCCGTGGCTTCTTTGATGCTTCTTTGTTTGGCCACTGAGGCGTTGGGCAACGGCAAGTTCCTTCCAGGGTAGGTCTACCCTCCTCCGCCTTTGGGTTGGTGTCCGAAAATCAGCCAAATGCGGAGGAGCAAGCGGAGGAGGCTTGTTGGCTAGAGTCAGATTTGATCATATTTGGGTATGTCACTCAATATTGTGGGACCTCTCAACTTGATTGGCTTTCCGTTGGTTTCCCTTTCAGAGACATATCATCCACACATATGATATCAAAAGAATAGGCCGCCCATCTGCCTCCAGGCGTACCCGTTCTTCCACAGTTCCGTTTGGTTATCGCATGGAATTAATCCCATGGGTCATGTACTAAAGTGATGAACCCTGCACCGTTCAATATGGGTGTGTTTTTTACTTTTGAGGGTATCCTGCTTGAGGTGGTTTAAACGGGACACCAACAGGAAGGCCACATTTTTTCAAATGGGGTGGGGTCCACCATGTTGAGACACCCCCAATGTACTTTTTTGAGACACGCCCTTCGCCCTGAAGCATCCTGAGGCCGGAGAGCCTCGCAGTGCTGTCCTCCATGGGCAGCAGCTTGGTGGCTCCCGCGGCTCGGCCAAAACGCACGCTCGGACAGCCGTCCCTTTAGTGTATACGATGTTTGCAACCGTAGTGTCGTAAAATCATAAATTTGGCTTTGACCTTCTTTACAACCCCACGCTAAAGGGCAAGTACGAACCTAACAAGGGCCCTAAAAAGGGCCCGAAGGTCTGGGCAGACTGCGTTGGAGTGTCATCCGTTGGTTGAACATCATATTTTTTAGTTACTGGGAGAAGGGATGGTGGTGGTTAACTTGTTATTAGGTTGAGCATTGCGACATGGTGATAATGCCAGACTTAGCATATTTTTTGGGTTTCCTTGTTTGCTCGTTTCAACCAGCAAAACATTTTTTTGCAGGGTGTCTAAGTCCGGCCCAGTTTCAAATGCGCTGAATGGCGCTTTTTTGGCTTGTGCGGCAATGGGGGGCTCCATGCCGCACGTGGGGCGCAGCGAGGATCTCACGCTTGGGCGCCTAGATGTCTACGCCAAGCCAGCGGCGCCCTAAGGGAAAGGCTTACGGAGGTTGGCGCATTTGTCATCTCAAGGTTGGGGCCCCAATGGCTGGTGTTCTTTTGCTCTGAAAACCAAAGGGGCCTCAGGGTGGTCCATTTTCTTGGTCTTGAAAGATGCTTGCCCTCAAGGTCACAAGATGACATCCCACATTGGTTCCCAAGCCGACCTTGCTCTCTTGTCTTTCGGGCCCTTGTCTCTGCGGAAGGCAGAGGCATTTTCGGTGCCTTCAGCCCAACCACTCAGTCTGACTTGCACTGTCCCATATCAGGTGAAGCCATGTTGGCATCTCCCGAGGGCCGTTCAACACCAGAGAAACCGAGTCCCAAGCAGAGAGAGGTGCTGAAATCCGCCCTTTTGCTTCTTTTTCGCGGGCTGTGGGTGTGGGTAGATCCATTTATCAGGTTTTGATTGTGACTCAGGGTTCAACATTGCCATGACTCTCCATGTCTCGCGGTGAGCGCAGCCTCGCCCCCACCCAATGTGAATGTAGTGTCCATGCTCAGGCGTCTGCCCGGCCGGTGCTTTGGCTGCATGCGGCAAAAATGATCTTTGAGCGCGCACGAGTTGTGCGGTTCTCCAATTTCCTTGCACCAAAAGAGTGATTTCATGGCAAGCATGGTTTTGGTCACTTCGGGCTGAGAATTGCATAGATATCGGGATGTGTTTTTTTGGTCTTTTTCCTTTTCCGCCAAAAACAAACGGAAGGCACCCGCTTCCGTGCGTCCCTCAAGGAGAATGGTCCAAACCAGGGGGGCCCTTCAGGTGCCATGTTTGTTTGAGGGATCGCGATAGGGATTGAAGCAAAGTGTATCTCAAGGTAAAGCCAAGCGGACCTAACTCAAGAAGCCTTGAACGGGATCGAGACTCGTGATGTCCACATGGGATGTTCTGGAAGGGGATTCAAGGGCAGCTGTCACATTCTGAAGCCAGAGCCGTTTCGATCGTGCTCGCGCTCACTTGTTCCGGAAGCTTCATGGATGGACTACAGCGCTTGAATTATCACGTAACCCTGTGCAACGAATGGCAGTATTCATCAAAGAAACGTTATGCCATTTTTGATCTTGGCAATCAGGGGTTCGACTTTGGGGATTGAAATGAATGCACGGAGGTGCTCATAAATTTGCAAACATAGCGATCAAGACAAACTGGGTTCCCGACTCACTGTGGCCAAAGAGTTTGTGTCAAGGACGCCCTCAATTGGTTGGCCATGTCTTGATCTTCATTCGTTGCTACTTGGCCAGTTCCTGAAAACGCGTCCGGTTTCAAGAAGGCAGCACCATGCCAGCTTGTTTGGGGATCCGGTCTTGAAGACATGAGTTGTCAAACATGCGACTCGCCTATTTCTGATGACCGCATTGGTGGCTTGGAGGTTGGGCGTTGCCAATTGCAGCCACAAGGACCAGGGGATCAGATCCCTACCTCCCACCAACCGGCTCCTGTCGTGAGGCCAGCGAGCCGCTGGCCAAGGCTTGGGGCCTCAAAGATCCGGAAACGGCGATCGACACTTTGGTGGGCCTGAAGGGGTGGTCCCGTTTCGATATAGCTTCTTTTGGAGAACACCTCATGGCAGCCTCATGTTCTTTTTGCACCGGGGGGTGTCCTGTTTTTTGTTTTGTTGTTTTTTTGAGACCTTGTGTCAACCTCAGACTCGCATAAAGGCGCGGCTCCGAGGCAGTGGCTTGGATTTGGCTGAGAGGGCTTCGCCCTTTGAGACGTACAGTCCAAGCTTGAAAATCGCCAAGCGCCAAGACGTGCGCAAGGAGTTCATGGTTTGAAGACGGGAACAAAGGACAAATTAGATGGCTTTTCATGCCCACCCATTCCTTGCCACAGAAAGAGGCTGGCAAAGGCATTGGGGATGTGTTGCCAACAGGTAACAAGTGGCTTCCAGTTGGCATGGACAGGGATCCTTACCGAGAACCTTTTTGACTTCATGTTTTTAACCAACGCTGGTTTTCACCCCCATGCTTGTACTCGGGATGCCGTCTCGAAACCCCGAATTGTGAAATAGCTCTAGACTCTTCCTAGGTCTCTCGCAGCCATTCAGCGGTAGAAGGAGGCGTTGTTGGGCGCCGAAAACGCGCCGTCCGTTTAGAGACCATGCGGCGGATCTGGCCATGGCTGGCGCTGGGAGTTCTGGCCTGGGACCCAAGTTCCATTTGCTTAAGAATTTTATTTTCCCTTGTTGGTTTTAACGGGAATCTATCACTACTGGAAATATTTATATCTTTTTTCGAGGGGGCTTAAGCAAATGGAAGTGGGCTGTGGGCCATGGCTGTGGTGGGTAGGTGGATGAGTGGGTCAAGACACCAAAGAGAGCCCCCCACTGTGGCAAAAGCCTCGTGGAGTAGATAAGCCATAAATCTGGGCCGCATACGCTGCAGATTGCTTGCTTGGGGGTTTGCTTGTGCAGGCCAACGTGATTTACAATGGTCGCCTGTTGGAATTTGAAGCGCTTTGCCTGCCGCAGAGTCTAACTCCGACCACGTGCTACTTGTTGTTTGCGGTAGTTGCTTTCCTTCATCCAGGACACCAACTCAGGCGGAGTTGGGCACCCTGCAGAAGTCAGTTCTTTGAAACATGACATGCTACAGATCCATTAACAAGTGGCATGATCAGATAAGATGGGCTCAATGACATCGAATTGTGCTGCAAATGGGTGCTAATTACCGTGGTTTCTATCCTTGAAAGCCGTTGTTCCAACCAGTCTTGACACACGAGACCTTGTCACGGTGGTCTTAGTTCCTTGCGAACCAACCAGTGTCCAACTATTTTGTACACATTTGGATGGCACAATGCCCTTCGTGTTGGGAAGGTCATGATGGAATAGACGTGAGTCATCTGTTCGCCATCTACTTCAATGGAGCTGCAGCTTTCAGTCACATCCACATGTCTGTGATTTTACAACAGGCCAGGGGACCTTCACAAGTCCTTGGTTTCCCAGAGGTGATTTTTCTAAGGACAGGGGCCCAAGAAACAAAAGCCGTTTGGGGGGTCACAGATGTGCACATCAACTGCTTAGGCCGCGGCGCCGTGCTTCCACGCCCCAGGCGGGCACTGGATTTGGGGTTGCACCGCCTTTCCTCTTCCGGAAATTCTTGCAGCTTAGAACCCAGGAAAGGCCCATTGAAGCGTCTTTGGGTTACCTGTTTGGCGCGGTCACCGATATTTTATTTGGGACCCGATCTGCATGTGTTTCATCGATTTCTTCTACCAGCCTATTGACTGAGGCTGGTAGAAGATATGTGGCTTGGCACAGGGACTTGGATTGTGTGCAAGCCTCTGAACTTGCCCCCAGTTCCAGACCAAGCTCCTTGGTAGGCCACGTTTGTTCCCAGACTCCACTCACTTAAAGGCCTTTGGGTTCCTTCATTTCCCCTTCCACTTTTTGCGGGTCTCAGTCGTTTTCCCGCCTGAAATCCAAGACCTGGCATGGATGGTGGCCCATGCCCAGCCGGGGCTTGGCTTGGCTTCGTTTGGCCAAGTCTTCGCAGGTGCGCCGCAGTCCAGGGGCTTGGCGCGCTCGAGCTGGCACACGGCTCGTGCAGCTGCGAGGCGAAAAGCGCAGGAGAGAAGGGGTTTTCGAGCGCAGGTGCTGTTGAGTACCCTTTTTGGTTCGGGTTCAACACTTTAAGAGGACATTTTCAGCGGAAGCCGCCAATTGGAGTTTCCCGAGTTTGAGGCAAGTCCAGGCGCGGCGGTTCATTTTGTGGGTTGGGTGGTTGCTTTGAAAGCCCAGTTTGGCCACTAGGTTTGGGTGCGAGTCCAATTTATGAGGGCTTGACAGTTTTGACAGCCCTTGGTTTGCATGAAAACTGCAAAGATCGTCATCATGGAGCAGAGTGGAGGTCGAACAGGAACACATCAATACGGATACGTAGCCGTCATGTTTTTTTGCGGGTTTAACAGGTTCACACGGGCTAATAACGTGGCTGAAACAATCACGCATATTGTCCCGCAATCATGAAGATTCATGAAGTACTGGTATCTTGGTTTGACACCCGCAGGCCCATTTATTTATGCCCCCAGGCAAGAAGCTGCAAAAAAAAGTTCCATCCGGCGGAACTCTGCAGCTGCCTTCCGTCTTTTCCATCGATGTCACCATCCCGATTTTAGATGCTACAGATGCTACAGGGTGTGTCTTTTCTGTTTGTGTGCCCCCTTTTTGAAGGTTTCAAAGGAAGAAACAAAAGGAAAACCCACCTTTTGGAGGGTTCGAAGGAACAAAAACAAGGAAACCTTACCGCTTGTTTTTATTTGGGGGGGTCCAACCTAGAAAAAGCACGAGACGCTCCCATTTCGAGGAAGGTCCGGTCCGGTTCCGGTGTTGGGGGCTCCAGGAGCTTCCGCCTGCCGGGGAGGGCGCCCAGTACACCTGCTCCGCCGCTCGGTGCGATTCGCTTCGTGGAGTTTTCTCGCCCCGCTTTTGGGGCCCTTTTTGGGGCTGGTGGGTCACTCAAAAAGGATGTGGTGTTCAAGCTCTGTTCCCGGTTTTTGTGGCGGGGTTTGCGACTCGAATAAATTTAAAAATAAATAAATGCCGTTTTCGAAGAAGGGTGGTCTGTTTGCGGGAGTGACCGGGCGAGGAGGGGAAGAACAACAACTCCGGCAATCGAAAGAGCATTTCGTGACGCGGGAAGCCCAAGACCTCGCACTCGAAAGCCCATAGCTCAAGACAAGAGCTGCCAAAGCTTTAATTCAGCAGGAAATGAGCAAATTCAAAGTCTTGGGACCGACCTTGACTTGCTGGTGCGATAGGGAGAATGACCTTCCGGGTGCTGGGAATGAACCTAGGAATTCCCTTAAAGGAAACCATAGGGGGATGGTTTATCGGGGTCAATCCCTCAACACTTTTCCCAACTTAAATATGCAGGCCTCAAAATCAAGGATGCCGGAGGATGAGACACAAATTCCAAATTTGAGAACTCTTACCAGCACCTCACTTGACTAGCATCGGCTGATTCAGGACTCTGCTTCAGCGCATGTGAAATTGTGAAATATGGGTTCTCGATCCTTAACCTATACCTTGGATATAACAGGCGACGTCGCGGCGATGTGCTTTCCTTTTGGTTTCCCTCTAAAACAATCCCTAAAGGGGTACGCTTGAAAAGTACAGCCCCATTTGCTGCTTTTAGCCCAAGTGTGCCGGACGCACACATTTCAACTGAGGAAGACGGGGAGTGCGTGGTTGAGCCGTGCCCGCCCACAGGCCATTCTCGAGAAAGAGCCGAAAGGGGGTCAGACGAGCGCACCCTTGAACGTCCTTTCCTCTCATGGTCCTCTTTAGCAGATTGGCCACGCATGTTTCTGGCTATCCGTCTTGGAGTCCCTCTATCCACATACTTCTGCCTATCCTTTTGATCCTCAAGCGTCACTCTCACTTCAAATGGGTGTGGCTCAAAATTAAACAGGAGGGGCTACGCAGGTTTTCCATGTTGCGACTTACCAGGGTTCCATTTTGGGTACCTATTTTTGACCCAGAGCCAAATGGGCCAGGGGTTCCGAGGTGTTTTGAGATCTCAAAAAGTCCTCGGCTGGCGAGGCTGTCGGGCGTCCCTGGACGTGCGGATAGACGACGTGTGGTACGACCTCTCGGGGTGGCGCAAGGCCCACCCCGGTGGGGAGCATTGGATGCCGAGCTGCAACTGGCTCTGATTGTTGGATGGGGGAATACCCTCAGAAATGGCCGGTGGACAGAAATCCCGCCCATCACAATGGCCCCCAATTAAACTCCATACCCAAAATGAGCCGTTTTCGGATGACCTGGAAGCCCCTGCCGGGCGACGGCAAGGATCATTCGGGGTGGGGTGCTTGTTTGGAACTAGGCTCACTGGAAGACGGCCCTTCGATTGAATCTGGGTGCCCTGCTCAATTGGCCCAACCAAGGATCGACCACTACGACGGTCGCGATGCCACAGAGGTCATGCACGCCTTCCATTCAGCCAAAGGTTGGGTTGTACAGCGTCGGCTTGTTGTTGCTGTCGAAGCCGCGGAAGTGTTTCTGGCATGGGGCGAAGCCACTTTCAAGAGAAGCCACTTTCAAGAGACAGACGCGAAATGATGATACTTCAGAAAGCAGTGGCGTGAAGTTCAAAACCGAGGAACGCACAATTCAGGCAACTTGAGCGCGAAATTCGGAAACAGACGGTTGGGACTCGTCGCGTCCCAGAAGTCGGAAGCCCTTTGGGGCGTTCTTTGTTCAAGGGGAAACCAGAACGAAGTAGGCCAGGAATGGTGGGCATCCCTTTTGGGCTTTTCATTGTTCAAGGACATTAAAGGGGAAACCTGACTTGGGCCTTTTTGCTTTCTTGGGTTTGCCCAAGCAACTGGAGACCCCTTTTTGGCCAGCACTCTTTCCTCCTTTGGGGTTTCGGGGTTTCCCTTTGCTTCCACAAACCAAAATAAGTGCCTGGCTAAGTGCCTGTTACTTCTGAAAGCTGCAGGCCGGGAGATGCTGAAGCGGATGCCCCGCTCAAAGAAAGCGAAGGCGAGGTCCTCACAGCATTGCTGGAAATGAGGGCGCCTGAGTTTGAAGGGGACGTTGGGATGGTTTTGGAGGCAAGCCAAAAGGACAAGTTGGCTCAGAACTCATCACCCTGGGTGGGATTTTTTCAGCCCCCCCCCCCCCCCCGGAGACCTCGAGTGACAGCAGACCGCATCCCATCAGAGGGCCTGTTGCACAGGCAGCCATAGAAGTTCGCAGTGCTTTCTGGATGACATGGGCTAGCGTCACTGCATACTTCGGATGTTGGCCGCGGCATACGCTGAATGGAACACCACTTGCTACACTCCTGCTTCACACGGAGCCCAGACTCCCTTCAAACGGGGCCCTGTTTTGGGGCTCCATGCATTGCGGGGAGCAAATTCTTGGTCAGCCAAAGACTTAGCTCGTCGCTCGGCGAGGAGCTGGAAGCCTCTTGTCCCCCACCGACGCCCCTGACCCGGGCCTTTCGAAACCTCAGGCCAAGAGATCGGGAAGGACATGGACGGGCCATGACTCGTTGGTTCAGGGTTTGGCAGGAGGGGGGGAGGTGGAAAAGAGGCAGGAAAATTGACTATGTTACACCCTGCGATTCAATATTGGCGCGTGGAACACCGTTTTGGACTTTCTTGGAGTTGGCAGGTTTCCCTGGATTCCTGAGGTTTCCCATTTTATCCCGTTCCCGGCATTCAGATGTCTAGTCGAACTGAGCCTGAGTTGAGGTCGTGTTTGAAGGGCGTGGCATCTCTCCCCGCGTGGTGATTGTGTCTTCAAGGCTCCATGTTGACGTCTCGACTTTATGGGTTAGGCGCAGATTGTGGTTCTGTAGGCACAGGCACAATGTTGGAATGTGGGAACATGTGTTCGATGTTGGAGTTCTAGTCAGTGCCTGTCTTGCCCTCCTTGATCCTGATATGCATCAACAACGAGGTCTTAAACATGGTGGCTCGGGTTTTTAATGGTTTGTTTGGGTGCTGTCGTGCGAGTTTTGAGTTCCATAGTCTAAAGTCAAAGCTGCTTGCTTTACGTCGTTCCAGCATCCTGTTGTCTCGCATGTCAAGTGTGGCACATTCAATGTGTCGCTGGCAAGACTGCCAGCTTCAGGCCAACGGGTTCAGATCTGCTTCGAATTCAGTTTGGCAGCTGTGCTGGGCACAGTCATTCTGTGTATTTTCGAGCTCATCTACCAAAATACAATGTATTTTCGAGCCCACCCTGTGTGATAGGCAGCCCACCTACCTCGGTTTCGCTGGGTTCCATCAGTTTTTCCGGAGAAGCACTCTCTTCCTTTTGTGGAAGGCACCCAACTCCCCACGGCGCTGTCAGGGCGAAGTTGGAAGACGAAGGGTGGTGGAAGCGCAGCCTGGTGCGCGAGGCCGCTGACTCACAAGGGGCACTGGTAAGCAGGGTCAAGCATGGCTGGTTGGCGGGTGATACTTCGGCTACCGCACGTACTTACGCAGTTTTGTCGTGCTTCTTTCTGACGTGGTTTATCTTGTTGCCGGGGAGGCAGTCCTGAGTGAAGAAGTACACTCACTTGTACACCGTTTTTTCTTGAAAAGGTACTCTGGTTGCGGTTATGGAGCAGTTCATGTGCATGGAGCTGTTTTGGCGTGCATCTGCAAGGCAGCCAACACCGGTCAGCTGCAGGTTGTTTGATGCTTGAATGCTCATGTTATGCATGCCCCCAGTTTTCTTGTTGACTTTGCTGCACCAGATTCACCCTGGCAGCTCACCCTTTGCGCGGAAGCCCACAAGAATGTGTTTGTCCCCTTCGGTTTTCCTTTAAAACACACCCACAAAAGGCTCAACGGCTCCACCCTATTTGCCGACGCCTGGCGCCAGGCGCGGCAGTGGATCATTTGGGCCACTTGCACCGGGCTGGGGGTCTTCTTCACCCACGGCCAGATGGCCGCGCTGGGCGTAGTGCTGCTGGCGCTGGCCAATACTCAGGCGGGTCATCAGTTCCGTGGGAAGCCCACGGTCATGTGGGTATGGGTATGGGGACCGCAGGTTTTAGTCCATGTTTCCATTTACCAGGGCAAGCCAGTTTGGGGTCACCCTATTTTTGACCCACAGCCATGACGTTGTGTGTGTGTTTTTGTTTGCGGTTTGGAAACCACAAAACATGAGTGAAGTGACAGAAGTGGTTCCCTTCGTCTGCGACCGGGAGGCGCAGGCGTGGGAGTGTTCTGGGGTCGTTGCAGTCTACCCCAAGGTCCGCCAACGTGTTGGTCTGATGTTTCCACTGCGTGGTTGGGGCCAGTGTGACTCGTAACCTCATAGAATCCTGGCATAGATACGTGAGTAGGGTGTAGTTGGTGGCGTACGGGTGAAGGTTGTGCCTGTCATTCGATGAGCAGCGGGTGTGCGGGTGGAGCTGTAGAAGGTCTTCCCAGCAGTTGATTTGAACAGCCAGGGGTGCTCTTCCCTCGCCCTGTAAGAGGAGACTCCTTGAGATGTTTTCGTACAAAAACGCAGCTGTTGTGTTGCCCACACTTCTTGAATGGAGCTTTGTGATGACAGCGCAGCGAAATGTGGTGAAGCCACGTCACGCCGCTGCGTGTATAGGATAGGTGTCTTCTATTGAAATTGATTGTTGTACAACATGTACAAACATTACATCACAGGACATGTCATTGCATTGCAATACAATACAGACACAAATACAAATGCAAACATAAATGCAAATACAATCATATCGTACCATACCACACCACCATGTTGTACCATACATACGCAAACATACACAAATAATACATATATATATATATACACCCATGGTTCACACACACGCGCCATTATACACACCCGCACAATAGAAATAAGAGCTGAAGCATCAGCGTGGCCAGGCTGGTTGGTTGGCCCACGACTACCAGCACGGAGTCGACAGCTTTTGCGACCGCATGCGCTGGATGGGTCCTTTGTGCGCAGGGCTTTCCCCGATCTGGTGGTCCGACAAGCACAACAAGCTGCTGGGACAAAGGGAGGGGACCGACCAGGGCAAGTTCTTGTCCGCTGTTTTGGCAAGGCTGGTTGGGGATCCGGTGTCCCAAACAGGTGGCAAGGGCAACTGAATACATGGCGCTCTTTTTTAGAGCCTCAGGACGAACCAACCTCCATTGGAAAATGGCAAAGGAGACCTCAGGCTCATGATCGAAGGCGACTTGTTTTTCCCCTAGAGAAGCACCTGCCAACCTGCCGGCCAGCTGCTGATGCCGCCACGTGGCAGGTTCTACTCGTTGTGCCGTAGTCTGAGAGAAGGCTGAAATCAATGTGGCGACGGCCGGCAAGAGATGGGAGCATGTTGCTTTGTCGCGTGCAGCATGTGGGGTAAGGAAAAGGAGCCCTCCTCAACCTTCCGGGCTTCTCATTGTCTATTGTGGATACTTAGAAATCGGTTGTCAAATATCGGGTCTGAAATGGACAACACATTTAGTCCATGCGCAATCCCCAGGCTTTGTTGCGAGCGTCCTCCTTTGTGTGTGCTTGTTTTGTTGCCATGCCTTGTGGGTCACATCGACAATCCGCTCCTCGGCGGCATTTTGCAATGAGCTCAGGCATCATGCCGTTACCAATGAGGTTGGCATGGACGAGGCACCTCGGAACACGGGGGCTTGTGTGCAGGGCATGACATGAGACCCGTTGGGTGGGTTTACTACCTGGTTTCATGGGCCTTGTATTACAGTCTTTGTCGCCAGGTGGTAATGAGGTTTTGAGCACTTCTCAAGCATGAAACATAATTGCACTACGCTGCAATTCAAAGGACAGCAATCATGTTTTCTGAGTGCCCGGCATCACTCATTGCGGTTTGCGGGTTGTAGTTTCATGCGCTTCAACATGTTGAGTGGACTTCGGCTTGCTTAAGTCAGGGATTCTTCCCGCATTCAGTACAACAACGCGCAATGCATTGGCAGCAACCCGCCGAGCGTCCAGGCAAGCCCACGAGTCAATGCGCGGAACAAAAAAAACACAAGTGAGCTAGCTATGTCGTTTGAATACGTGCTTTAGATCAGTGACATAGTGCACAGGTGATCTGATTGACTGTGTTGTCTGAGGATCGGACGTGGTTGGTGATTCAGTCAGGTGTTGGATTGGACGAAGGTGAAGGTTGAGGGTCTGCGCGAAATCTAGCGACTTCAATTTTCAAGCAGGAGACTGTTGCGTTCCTGCAAGCGTGTGTTGTTCGATTCTTTCAAATTCCAGAGGGCCTTCCCATGTTTTTTCCTGGGTCGATTGGGCGCAGCCTCGTTGCCCCGTTCGAACCTCCAGCCTCCCGAGAGGACATCGCCACGGACCCGGTGCTCTTTGTGCGGGCGCCGGACCCCAAAGACGACTCATGGCATCGGAAAGTGCAGCACTGGACGGCGCCCTTCTCCTTCTCCATGCTGCAGCCCGATTCGAATCGGGGTGGTTTCAAAGGCAAAGGGGGTGGAACATTCAACCGTTTAGGTGGGTAAGGGAAATCAACAGGAGAACCAGCAGTTTTCAGGGTCCTAACATTTTTTGATACTTTCTGGGAATCCATGCGAATTGGTGCCATGGGTCCGATTCAAGGCCATGACGTCATGGTTTCCTTGGCCCAAGTTGAATATTTGTAGGATCCATCCCCAACCACCAGGGCGTTTTGACCATGGCACATTTCGGGGTTGCGTCAAAGTAACATTTGGACCCTCAAAATTTCTCACCATGTCTCGAAATTGGTGGTTTTCCGCTTAAACCACTTTAAACATCCACACACACACACACAGGGGTACCATGAAGACACACCCATATATGATTGCGTGTTTTTGCCCATTTGTTTGAGCCCCCCCATATTCTGACACATGCGATGTGGAAGGACTTGATGCGTTCCAGCTGGGGCTTCACTTGATACATGCACGTGGGCGATTGCTCGTTGGGGGGTCCCGTGGCTCGCATTAGTTGGTTGATCTTGCTCCCCTGCGCAAAGCTTGAAGCAAGCAGGTTGTCTGCGAACAAACAGTTTATAGTGTGATATGTTTAGTTATCTGATGGTATTGTGCTGTGTGCGGGAAGTGGGGTCTGCGGATTTGGTTTTTATACTTGGTGAGACTGAGGTTCCGTTGTTTGTTCCAGTGGCTGACATGAGTTCCCCAATTCAGAACCCCTTTTGAGCCCGGATAGCCCCGTCGAAGCTGCCCCTCGCAACTCGCAAGCGGCGAGCGAGGTTCGTGATTTGGCGGATCGACTCCATCAAGGCCGTGTGGAAGGACTGAGACCGGGGGCATCGAGCGACGACCGGCGGCGGGGGAGGGGGTTGGAAGTGAGTTTGAGTGGCGCATCAGGGTGAGGGTCAAGCCAAGAATCAACAAGTGCAAACATAATTTCAATGAAACGAGGTCAACTTCTGGCAGATAGGATAGTTATTGTAAACGCCTCGTGTTGCCCGCCTCGGCCTGTCCGCTGTTGGCTGGCTTTCAGGTATATACTGTTCCGTAGTTTGTCTTGAAGTGTAGTTATTAAAGTGAGTGAGTCGGGGCCGAAATGCGTGAGCTGGCTTCCAAGCTAGAGGGTGGGGGCATGTCAGCGCGATTCCACCTGGCTTCAAGAGCCAGAACGAGCGCCGCAGAGAGCTACAGAATGGCCAAGCGCAGGTGCAAAATTCTAGGGAATTTGATTGTTTTTTTGGGGATTTTGTCCGGTTTCTAGGGGGATTTGACGGGAGTTGGACCAGTTTTCAGAGGAGTTCCTAGAAGGGAGTTTGGCCGGCTTTACGGTTGTTAAGGGAATTTGATTGGTTTCTGAGGGGGAATGTCCCCCCAGGGTCGGAGCGGAAAATAGGCCGTCTCCGACCCTTTGACACGATTTTCGATGATTATACCATCGAAAACGCCCACCCCGGAATTTGCAAAAGAGGCCAAGGAATTTGCCGGGGGAGGGTTCTATGGTAGGTGGGGTCACAAAAGGACACTTCCAGCCCTGGAGAAAAGTCCGACCTCCCCTTTTCAGTCTTTAATTGCTAACTAACCAAAGACGAAAAGGGGGACCCCCCAAAAGGAAAAGTCGTGTTTTTGTTTCTAGGGGGATTTGACCGGAGTTGGATCAAGTTTGACAGGAGGAAGTTGATTGATTTCTAGCGGGATTTGACCGGGTTTGACTGGCTTCTAGATGGGGAGTTGACTGGTTTCTATCGGCTTCTAGAAGGGGATTTGACCAGCTTCTACGGTTTTTAAAAGGGATTTGGTCGGTTTGGACAGGTTTTTGGAGGCAGGGTTTGTGACGAGGGAGAATCAAGGGCTGGCTGCTTCCAGGCTTGCTTCAGGCGGACTGGAAGCAGCTGGAGCAGGGATTTTGGCCACGGGTCATGTGTTGTGAGGGGCTTCTGAAATCGAAAAAACATATGATGTTTTGGGGGTAGACTAACCATGGACCATCTGAAAATCGGTTGTTTTCGTACTCCAGATGGCCACGTTTTCCGGAACCCCGGCAGTTTCTTGCCCCCCCCCCCCACCCCCATGGCTGGCGCGGCAGGAGCTGCGGCAGAAGAGGCCCAGAAAGGGCGCCAAGGCAGAGGCGCGGCATCCGATGGTCAGAGCGCCTCATGCCAGCGATGTCTGTTGGAGCCGGGGTCCATGGACCAATCCATACCAATGTTTATATGGGCGTCCATGCTTATATCCATAAATCCATATGTGCTCGGCCTATTGAGAAAGGGGCCCCTTTTTTTGTTTTGAGCAATCCCTGCCCTGCTACTTTTCAGGGCTCCCTTTTCCAATGTTGGACCTGAAGAAATGCCCAGTTGAGTTTTAAAGATGGGTGATGGGGGCGGATCAAAGAACGGGTCCGCGGCACAGGGTCCGTGGGGCCCAGACTTGTGCGGCCCGAAAGGGATAGCAAGGGGCTCTTTTGACAACCTTGTGTAGCATCCGAAAAGGAACTCATTTGGGTGTTTCTAAAAATAATGGACCCCCTTTTTGTTTGCATTTCCTCTACACCCGAAGGACACTTTTGCCCAAACGGACCGATTTCTCTTCGGGGGTGTCTCTTTTGAGGTACCCTTTTTTTTTTGGTTTCGCAGGTGAAATGAGAACCACCATTTTGGGGGCTTCCCTAGAAGACACCCATTCGGCCATAATTTCTACCGGGGAACCCCACAAATGGTTGGTGGGTACCTGCTGCCTCCCCCACCAAAATGATATCCACCAAATCCCCAAAGAACCATACCTATTTTCAGCCACACTCAAAACCGGGGTAGATGCAGGTTAAGGGACAATCCCAGCCATATAAAGCGTGCGGAAGTTCCCGCCTTTTGACTTCTTTCATTTTTGGTATACCGTGTAACCCAGTTGCCCAGTGGAGCCCTTGTTCCCCCTTTTTTGGGGAAAGGGTTCTCCTTTAAACTCAACCAACCAAAAACGGATGCCCTCTTTTCCCCATGTCCACTGGGCATCTAAGGGTTTTGATGACTTCTCATTTCGGGTACGCCAACCGAAGAACTCGGTGGGTTCTCAGGCCTTTTTTCTGAGCGTCCACTGGGCGCTGCTTCTCAGCCTGGTGCCGTGGAAGCTCATCCCGGCGTGCCCCGACGAAGTGGGCGAATTGGGCGAGAGATCTCGCGGCAGGTTTTGCCGTTTTGCCCGTGGAAGGCAGGGGGTTGGACGGGGCACCCTAACATGACGTGGAGTTGGCCGGGCTTTGGTGTGTTTGTGCGTGTGTGTGTGTGTGAGCTTCCAAAGTGAGGCAGGCATACCGGCTGATTGCATGCCTTGCATATGTTGGGCTTGCTTGTTTTTGTTCGGGGGAGGGTGGGGATTGTGCCAGAGATCCGCTGAGGCTTTGCCATCATTTGCGCTTCTTTGGTGCTGCCTTGTGTTTTGGAGTTGAGATCGCGGGTTGTGTCACAAGACATCGTTGGACTTGCGAGGAGTCACCCCCTGCGCCGAGGTACATCTTGCTGTCTGGCTTGATCACTGCGATCATCACCACCGCCACGCACCAGTCTGAGGAGATGTTTGACGCTCGGCACCGATTCATCCCGACTTGGGCTTGGGGAGGCCTTGAGGGATTTGGCTGAGACGAAGACGAATCATCCGGACCTTCCAAGCTCGATTGATGCTTGCGAGGCTTGTGGCTGCATGTCATTTCTATACGCGAGCTCGATAAATCACCCTGCTTGAAAGGAAGACTTCAATCCTGACTTCGTGGACAACCAGTTCCGCACTACGCGCGATGCGACCGTGCGGAACCCCTTTGCCAAGTGGATTTGGGGAGGCATGCAGTACCAACTGGAGCATCTTGGACTGACCAAGCATGATTTACTGCAGGTTTTGGTCCATGTTTCTGTTTACCAGGGTTCCATTTTGGGCACCTATTCTTGACCCACAGCCAAGAAACAATGAAACCTGGACAAGCGGTTCAATAGCGAAAGCATGCCAGCGAAAGGGATGGTCTCTGAACAGAAGGATCTCGGAAATGAATTGAGAAAACAATAGCGAAAAGCGACCCGTTGAATGCTGTTGTGTGTTTGTCCACATGTCCTTAGGTGTTCCAAGTGCAACTTGCTTTTGCCCATTCTCTCGGCTATGCTTGCTTGTGCAGACCACTGCATTTGTATGCTTCTTCGTTTTTGTGGCACCTGGCCAGGCACAAGCAGGGTTACCTATTTTGAGCCTGATGGCTGAAACTCAGGGATTCTTGACCAATTTGTACGTCATCAGGAGGGACACTTCATGTTCCATGCACTTCGGACATGGGAGCGGTGGAATGGATACCAAGGATGAACCAAGCCAAGCAGCGATTGATTAATTCGGGTGTCCCTATCTCGGACACTGCTGATTTCTCAAATGTTGCAACTCAGGGGGCAACCCTGCAGCTGGCTACGCTCTGCCGTTGGTTTGCTTGCTTGATGCTGGATGTTTGGAAGTCAATGGGTGGTATAGGTCTTGAATTGTTGGTAAATGGGTGGGTGGCAGGTGCTGCTCAGCATGGGGTGGCCACGCGACTGCCTACAAGGAACCGTGGCTTGCCATTTAAAACAACATCGCAACAGGAGGGGGTCCTGTCATTTCGGGACCTGGCCCCCCCAAATTTCGGACCCGGTCTTGCGGTTTTCCAAGCGCCGAGGCACCACCTGTTCCCGTCCATGCCTCGTTCCAAGTACCCGGCCTTGAAGCCGATCCTCCAGAAGTTTGCAGAGGTGAACCACGTGCCAGGCGCCGCGCCGCATCCCGTCGGTGGTGGTCTTTTGGGGGGTTCTCTGGGCGGCTTCCCCCCCAAAAAAGCCACCATTCGCTGGTGCACCTGCGCTTCAGAAGGAGCTTCGGCGTGGCTTGTGGCAGGCCCATAGCTTTCTCACGGATCTTAGAGGCTACTGTCTACTCAGAGGCTCCGAAGAAGGCTACCTGGAGACCACATGTTCGTTTTTGCTACACCCCGGAAAACACGAGTCAGCAAGAGATTCACGAGAAGTGGGTGGGTCCTTTGGTTGCCTGGGCGGTTACAGACATGATGCATGCAGCGTAGAAAACGCGCTCACACAAGCACGTGTGTAAATATGTGCATATAGGTCTTTCGAAACAAGGGGTCCGGCAAGCTTTTGCTGCTCACAACGGCTTTGTTCAGATCAGCGAGTCAACAGAAGCAGGGCATGTGCTAAATGATTCCGGTGGGCAGCCGACGGTTTCTTTGGGCTTTAGAAGAGACCATGAGGATTCCTCACCACTTTTGGCGCCCTGCACTTGTTGCCGGGGCTTTCGCGCATCCTGATACTCACTCGCTCCCCTTTCTTGTGATCACAAATTCGGGTGTCTTACAGGATTTGGACCCCATGGGCTTCGGTTTCTCCAAAGAGCCTTCCCGCCAGGAACCGCACAGATTGGATCAAATCCATGGCCGGCGCAACCCCACACCCGCCCCCGGCACTTTTTGTTTGTTTAGCTGGCGCCTCGGTTTGTGTCGGCTCAAAGGGAGACCAACAGGATTTTCACAAGCCTCACTTCCTGAGTTCTTAGGCTTTAATGTTTTTGAGAAGATCAGTTTGGTGCTAAAGTCGGGAAGTGAGGGCGGCCATTTTCATAAAGGTCCCAAAATGGCACCTTGGCAAATGGAACCAAGGAGCAAAACCTGCGTAACCCTAGTGCTTTAATCTTGAGCCACGCCCTGATTTTGGAGGGTCCCCCTGTGGTAAAACTTGACTTCCAGGCGGCCACCGCAGCAGCCCGGCCATGGACTTGGTCGTGGGGAATTGGAAGCTCTACGCCAAGGCCCTCGGCCGATCGGCCCGTCGGCCCGTCGGCCGGGTCATGGACATGCGCCGGTCTCAACTGGGGGCCTTTGGGTGAGGGTACGTTGTTTTTTGGGTTTACAAGGGGAAATCCAAAGGAGGACCTCCAGTTTGGGTCCGCTGATTTTGACACGCGGCTTTGGCCTACGCCTGAAGGCCAAGTGGGCGACTCCAACACTCCCTCCTACAAACTAGCTGTATGTTAGGAGTGGCTCAGGCATTGAGCCAACACTGTATTGAGCTGACCTGGTCTTAGGTGGGTCGAGTTTCCTGGTCCCTCCGGAAGTTGCCGGGATCCTTCTTGCCAGAATGCTTTTTGTCGGGTCACTAATTGCTGTCAAACTTGGGAGGAAACGAGTATGTGATTTTTTGGCACGCTTTTCAGGTTGATATGGGGGTCGTCCTAAAACCCCAGTCTTCGGTTATCAGTGCCGCTGAACGCGGAGAATTAATAGCTGCCAACAGCTGTGCGTGCGTATGGAGCGCGTATGGCCGCGCAAGGGCCGTTCAAGGGATGTGCACGGTTAAGGTTTCATGCACAGATGTTGCCTGGCTTCATGCCAAGGAATCATAGGTCTTTACTGTAGCTGACACCACAATAATGAAAACCATCGGCGACGGACACGACAAGCAGCGCGCAAGAAGCGCGCAAGAAGCGCTGCCGCTTGCCGCGCAGGTGGCGCACGAGGCGCCACGGCCAGGTGCCAAGGCAACACGCTTGGTGCCAGCGTGAGGAGTGTGTTGGATGATCGGATGGGCTCCCATTTTGCCTCCCCTTGGAAGCTGACAGGAGGAGTCTTGAAGACTACTTTTTTGGGGAAGCCCATCAAATCGCCTCCCGAAGGGTTGGCTACCCTTTGGTGTATCATGAGCAACATCCCCTCCCGCACGAAATGCTTTGATTTGCTTTTGGGCTCCCTTGAAAACCATCGCACATCCCTCAGTTTTTGGACACCAGTTCGAGCTTAACGATTGAAATGGCAACTTGTTTGTCTGGTTTGGATATCAAGTGCCGTCGGCGTTCCATGGCTTTCTGCGGCTGCGGCTGCTATGGCGTTCATGACTCCTTGAAGTGGAGGGCTGATTGGCGGATCGGTACTCCCCTAACCAGTCAAAGTTGGCAGCGAGTACCACTTCTTTTTTTGGTGCCCTGGCCGTGAAGATGACCTGTTCAATTGGCAGCCAACATGACAGAGAATTCTCGAGCGGTGTCTTGCTAAAAGTGTCTGAGCCCAGAGAGCCCTATTCTGAGGAGAAGCTTTGGTCCGGCTCAGTCCGGGCCCTGCTGAGGCAAGCCATCTCCCACATTGCCTGATTCATGTAGAGTGCCCAACTGGTTATCCCACTTTCAGTTTAGCACCTCGCAATTTGTCGCAGGATTTTCTCTCGGCGAGATGGCGATCTTCAATTTCTGGGCCGGACGGCTCCTTGGCTCGTCAGGTTCATAAAGTGATGCCCGGCGCCCCCCATCGCTGGAACTTTGCTTGCTGCCCATTTTTTGCCTTAGCGCACAGTGTCTGTTCGACGCAGCGATTTATTGGGGGGAGGGGGAAAGCAGGAGAAGGCCCCCAAAACAAACAAGTCAGTATTTACTGAGAAGGAGTTCAAGAAGGGTCTCGCTTAGGTTCCTCCAGCATCCCTTTTGTTCATTCAGTTGGTCGCCCACCAAACAACCCATAAGGGCTTGCCATTGAAACCGGCAGCCACTGGGCAATGGAGTCATGAACAAGTTCCGAGGTGGGGATGCATGTGGGAAATTGATGCCGTAGGATTGATAAGTGAGAGGTGGATCTGTTGGGCGTGCACCGGAACCTCAGACTCAGGATTTGCCCAGCTTTCTTGTACGTGCCAACAATATTTTGCGGTAGTGCAGCATTCCTTTCCAGACTCCTTGGGTGCTCCGTGACCAGTGACTCGCTTGACAGGAAAGCTAAATCACGAACCAAGCTGGGGGTAGATCCCATGATGAAGGTCCATTACTATTTGTTGCACACGCTGATGTCTTCACCGAACATGTTGCTAAGGTTTTTGTTGCGATGGGTTTTGCCCGCCTTGCGTCAGCGCCCAGACCGGCCAGTGCGAAAACGAGGAAACATGTTGGTGTTCAGAGGCGGTCGGCGTTTGTCCCATCTACTGACATGGGACATGGCATGCAAGAAGAGGAGATGTTGGTTCTCACTAAATGACATGTGCAACGGGGAGGATTGTGGGCCCAACTGGATTGACTTTTATTGGTGGTTGATGGCGTGCCAAGTGGCTGTGTCAATTCTAAGAATAGCATTGAGAACTCATCTGCAATCCTAAGCTAGCAACGAGCCAGACTGAGCCAAACTTTGCGATGCCAGGTCAGTCCTCTTGTGCCTGTGGCATGGCGCTCCAAGCGAATTTGAGTTGGAGCGCCATTTTTCCAGCTTGACCCGTCTGGGAAGCGCCTAGCTGCATTTGAATATTTGAAAATTGACTCGCAGGAGCTATGGCTGATACATCTGGATGGTGCAAACTAGATTGCGGACTGACATGGCAATGCGTTGCTTCATTCAGGGCTAGTTTGGACCGTTCATCGGGCTTCAAGGGTTGAGTCTTCAAGGGGTTGGGTGAAGCTAGATGCTAATTGCCACAGTGCCACCTTGATGTCAGCTGATCGCTCCGGCGGGCTTCGGATGCTTCCGCATTGGGACGCTCTAAGGCGGCTTTGGTCCGCTCTTCGCAAAAGCTGTCCGATGGGCTCCATTAAAACGGGGATGGGGCATGCCAAAGCGAGTCAGTATGTGGCTTTTGACCCCCGTAATTATTTGGGGAAATGCAGAGATTTTCAGGCATGCAAACCTTTCTGCGGGTGTGCATTTCCGCTTATATTCGGGATCTTTGATTGTGTGCTTCTATTCAAGAAGCATGTGCACCATGTTGATACTGCGAACAATACGCGGCATGGAAGCAACCATTAAGAATCGAAATGCGTACGGGGAAGCTTCTTGTAGCTCTGCTTTGGATTGTAGGACACTGGCAGGGGTTCTTGTTTTTCCAACTTGACCCAACAAGCATTGCATTAGATGGGCAATTGTCCCACGCCGCCAAGTTTACTGACCTTGACGGACATTGCTTAAGCGTGTAGTGGGATGTCCAGTGTCGATTCACATGTTCTGGTTTACCCACACGTCTGGGCCAGCTGTTAAGATGGGGTGTCAGTCTGGTAATCAACATGCTCATGCCTTGCCTGTTTGAGACAACATTGTATTTTTCAGGCTTTCAACATACCACCTCCCCAAGTAAGAACTTAGCACGTGCTTTCCATGAAGGGATTATTGCCCAATGTCGGTTGACAAGCAGTCTGTCTTTGTGCTACTGGACCAAGCCGTACATTCGCCCTTGGCTGAGCAACGATCTCAGCAGTGTCATTCGCCGCCATTTGCAAGCGCGATCTTTGTGTCGGAGAAAAGCAGAAAAGCTTTGCCGGCCGAAATGGAGAGCCTCTTTCGGTCGCAAGAGTAGGAATGATATGAGATGATATGAGGGGGAGTCATGGTGCCATGTCCATTACAGTGAGCCGTAGCAGCCTTCGCGCTGGTTGGGGGCAGTGATTATGATTACATGGGTGTGTGTGGCTCAAAATTAAACAGCTGGGGTTACGCAGGTTCTAGTCTACCTGTCCATGTACTAGGGTTCCATTTTGGGCCCCTATTTTTGAGCCACACCAAAAGGAATGCTGTCAAGCTAGCGGTAGCATTCCGTTCGGGTTTCTGACGGGCTCTGCGACTTGCCGAGTTTTTGGAACTTTACCTCCCTCCCAGACCGATGGATTTGAAGTTGCTGCGTTTCGCGTTCACTAGGCTCATAAGCCGCTTGGAACAGGTTGCAGAGCTCTTCTTTGGAAAGGACATTTGTACATCATTGGGATTCGTTTAAGATCACGGATCAGCGGAGGCCAAGGCAGCCCCTCGACCTCAACAGGCTGGGAGAGCTTCAAGTCGCTGGTTGCTTGCTTGGTCCAGTTGGGGGTTCTTTTGTTTTTGTTTTTGTTTTTGCAAAGTGGGCGATTTGGTGGGAATCTGCCGGGAAGCTGCAACTGTTCAACGGGAACTCTTGTTTTTCTTCTGGGATGTCACGGCACCAAATCTGATCTCGCAGGGCCAAGTTTGCCTCTGATTGCCTGGCTGGCTTGGTCGGAAAGCAAAGTTGCAAAGTTCTGCTTGAGCAAAGTGATGTTCGGGGCACGGGCAGCATGCTACCGGGCCACCTTGCCTCCGGGAACTGTCCAGGTGGCAAAGTTCAGCCCCGAATGCGCAATCAAGAGACAAGGATGTCCTCAGTTCACGGACCGCAAGTCTCAAAAAGACCTCCAGAGCCCGCGATAGTTTCCGGTGGTCTTCCCTTGAAAGCCAGAACGCAGTGGAAACCCTTGGTTTCGGGGCGTGTTCAGGCTGGCCTTGTCAGCCGCGAGGCGCGCGGGGAGGAAAGGGGAGTCGCCAGGCATTTGCGAGATGTGCCATTGTGCCACGGCCAAAAGGCTACTTTACTTGGCGTTGGTATGGATCTAGCTCGCCCAGTAGTCCCCTTTTACCCATTTCTGGGGGAGGGTTCCCCTAGTAGAAAAGACTACAGAAAAAAGTTGGTACCCTTATTCTGACCTCTCTACTGGAGGAGTTGGTGTTGGTATAGATAGTCATCAACCTTTTTACCAGGGTTTCTGGGAAGGGAACCGTGACCATGACCCACAGCACGCGTGCGAAAAGCCCGATGAGATTGGCCTATTTACTGTACTTGCTTGGGCTGCTGGGAATGGTCATGGACCTGCATGAACTAGGTTGGGGGCCGGGTGTTCGGAATCAAGTGGGTGTGGTTGTGTGTCGTGCTATGTCTCATGAATGTGCGTACAAAAGCAAAGCATGTACACATATGTATGTACATATACACATTCATACATCGTGTGTATATGCAATATAACATAATATGGTATTGTAGAATCTAAATATACTATGATTGTTATATTATAATGTAATATACTACACCATGCCATACCATACCATGCTCTACTCTGCTCTACTCTACTATGCTCTACTATACTATACTTTGCTATACTATACTAATACTATACTATACTATACTATGCTATGCTATGCTATGCTATGCTATGCTATACTATAACGTAGTACACTAAATAGTGTATAGAAGCTGTAGACACAGTACTATGCTATGCTATGCTATGCCATGCCATGCCATGCCATGCCATGCCATGCCATGCCATGCCATGCTATGTATGCTATCCACCTCCTCATGTTTCCGCTTCTTTTAGGAGACCCCCCCCCCCCCTCGGCATAAGAGGCATCCAACGCCCTATTAGCTCTCGATAGGCTTTATGGTAGACCCCACAATGTCAAGGCGCGAGGACATCAGATGCCATGTGTTGTTTTCCAAGCAGTACCTGGACGTCTGTAGGTGTGCTCTGGAAGGGAGTGCCTACAGAGAGCGTTGCCGAACAACCACGCGGCATGCGAGTGTGATTTGATCCGTGAAAGCTGAACTGGACAATGATCCCGCCAGGAAATATGGATTCATCCTGATAGGTATCGGCTATCCCAAGCAACGCGTCGAGGATCGATTGGGCTTGATTTACTGTTAGTCTTTATTTTCAAAGAACGCCGCAGGTCAGCGTGTCTGCTGGGAACCCTCTTTTCTGACTGAGATGGCGGCAGGTTGGTTTTAAGCATGACTTCCATGGACAGCAATCAAGTACGA